TTTTAATAAAACACATCTATATTATTTTAATAATTAATTACTTTGCGTCAGACTTATGCGTCACATATTTTTAAAAATATAATTTTGATCTTGCGATATGAAACATATACGCGACCCAATACAAATAATTATATTTTAATATAATCGTATATACACATACGCGATTGTAAATTTTTAACGAGTTAATGCTATACACACAGCAATGTAATGTGTGCATTATATTTATTAACGGTACCCATGCTTTTTTTTTTACTAACCGTAAAAAATATATTTCTTTGTTCGAAGAATATTTCTTTTTTTGTATTTTGTTTCGATATTCGTATATTTTATACCACCCTTTATACACGAAACACGAAAGCTTGAAAATATTTCCTTCTCTTTATGCACGATGGCAATGACGTCGTCGCAATCGTACTCAGATTTTCATTCATTTTAACCAAGCACATCTCGGCGTGCATTAAACTTCGTTGATGTTTTCACGTTTTTCAAGAACCCTTATACAAGCGTTCTTATCAATCGCTTTTCACTTTTATATTTTCTGTCTGCTATTACAATTATCCTTACTAGATGATCCAATTCTTGAGAATTTTTTTTACTACCTACTTCAATTCCTCTTTCTATCACTATTTCTTTCTTTCTCTTTGTCACTTTTTCGATAAAAAGACCAACAAAAAGAAAACCAAGTAAAATATATATCTGGGTTAGAGAGAGAAAGAGAGAGAAAAAAAAGTAGAAAAAGAAATAGAAGATATGATTCAAATCACGAGCAACGTTAGATTTGCAATTTAACCAACGTGATATTTGTATAACGAATTAAATTATTCCCCGGAGAATTACGCTGTCTCTTATCTTGTTAATAATTAATAATATTTTATATAACGAAAAATGAGAGATGAAATATCATTTCAATTATCAGGCATTTGTATTATTGATCGAATGCTGGTTTGATTTTCAATATAATAATTTAATGAATTTTCTAACAAAGTGATATAATATTTTAATTGATCACATTGTCATTTAAGTGATAATAAGTTAAATAACAAAGCAAATCGTACGTAACTATTGGGTTGGCAACTAAGTGAGTTTAACAAAAACTTATTGAAAACACACAGGTCCTCCGGGAGCTGCATATTTTAATATCAGTTAAGAATTTAAAAAACAATTAATATATAAGTCTCAAAGGGAGTTATAGACGGTTAATAAATCTTATGAACAATTAATTTGAACTAGTTGTACGTTTCGTCCCTTACTG